TTTTTCATGTTTTGCTGTCGAGTGTTTGGTAGCCCCTGAAACAGTACTTGCATCACTCTCACTTTCATCATTGTAAGTACTCCAATTTTTGGTCTGGCTTTCACCAACTCTCCAACTAGGTAACAACAGAAGTCTCTTCTCCTTCTCAGTCAGTGGTATCTTATTCGGGCAGCAAAATATATTGAGCCGATGAAAGCAAGGCTAAGATTGTGCCTTACAAGTGGTTTGCATCGGACTATCTGATAACAAAATGGTGTGAACTAAAGGACGCCACAGATAGTTGACGTTCGATGACACCTATAATCATAATTTGGGATCGTAAAAGGAAATGGAAAAGAGGAAGACAGAACACAATGCGTCGAGAATTTGAAGCAGACATGCAACGGATAAATAGCAAGCGGAAACAATTTGAAAGTGTTGCACAGATCAGAGTTCGACTGGGAATCCTTATCTGCGGCCTACACTGCTTTACGAGGAGTAACTGACATAAGTAAGTATATAACAATTTGATGTGAATTCAACAGTATTGTTGTAAAGTGGAAATCAAAAGCAGTTACTGATTAAATGTATTACGTCGTCAAACTACTTGTGAGTTGAAAGACCAAGCCTATGATTTCCAATAGACCTACACAATGTATGAAGGATGACGTCACATCTCATTACATTTATCAATTCACATGTTTGTGTGAACACACATACATAGAAAGGATTAGTCAACCAATCTAATTAAGGGTTATGAAACATGTGCCTGGATGGGTTTAGTATCGGTGAATGTCAAATGTTCCGATAAAAGTTGAAAGTAGAAAACCATGTTCATCGATAGCAAAGTACATAACTGAAACGGGTCACAGAATTGGCATCAATAGAGCTTTTAAATCTTGGTTTAGAAATTGTCAAGGACTAATTCTCAGGTTTATTGAATCCTAGTCTATTCATAAATTAAAACCCATCTGATAATCTGTATATCGCCTTATGGCCTAGAATAATGAAACAATCTCCTATTCTTTCTAAACGACGTTAAATTTTCTCTCTATAATTTACACTTTCTACTTTGTTTACTTGAACCTTCATTTCGTTGACCTTTGTTAGTTTCCATATAAAATACTTTGACAAATATATGTGTGAGCAGATCGTAAGAAATGTATAGAGCAAATAAAACACAATTTTTAGATCAACTCCATCTTTTCATTGTTCTATCGAAATATGTAAAATGAACTAATTGCCTATTTGCCAAAGTTAGTATTTAAGAGTCACAATTACACCGTATTATTATGAATTAGATTACTTGGTAGATTCTTTTTAGAGACTCGTAATCTATTATTATTATTATTGACTTTATTCATTGTTATATTTTTGGTAAAATATGGAACTCTCAGCACAAATAATATCAACAGGTTTCTTCTCCCTATTTCTTGCTCGATCCTTGCGATAAATATTGAGTGGTTGCCAGTTACATGTTAGCAGTTCAAGACTTGACATTTGAATAATTATATCTATGATTGGGCTCTTTTGGAAGTTGTACAGCGAAATGTAGTAAATTCTTTTACATACGCACTTGAATGGCTTATGAGACTAATATACATAATGATGTGTTAAAACAAACAAGCAAAAGATAACTTGTTGAAATATCCAGATGGCAGGAACAGGTAACCCAGATATTTAAACAAGTCGCGATAGTATTAACCTCTATGGACACTTTTTGAAATTTTAACGATTAGTTTAAGTTCATAGAAAGTGAGTGCTCAAGTACATAGAAGTTATTAGATGTGAACAAAATATATTTGAATCATTTAAACTATTGAAATCTAAGTGATCCCAACGTTTCAGTCATTAAATAAAAGACCAGCATATATTCTTTATATCAGAGAAATCTTAACTAATGTTAGGTTTAGTTCAAAGTTATGGATTAATAGAAGACAACAATTTTTAACGAATTAAAAAATTTCTCGGATAGTTGTTCATATCTCTTTGTTTGAAACCTTTAATTGCAACAGTTTCCGCTCAATTAGCTACAAAAGATGGCATTCGATCTGCACTAATAAGGACTTGATACACATGACATTGATCACCACCCAGTGATCAATCAATTGTGATTACAACTCAGTCCTATAGGAGGTTGGTCGCTGCTCGTATAACTCAGTAGTAACGTCTCTGACTGGGAAGCTGAGTTACATGGGATCGGATCCTTCAGAGAGCACCAGTTCTCTCAAGATTACAGGTACACCTTGCTGACGAGTGCCAAGTAGCACGAAACCCGGGTTCGAAGTTTCCTGTTGACTACCTCCAACCACTATCTAATTTTACGAAAGAAATTTAGTCAGTGAGCTGTTCAGTCATGTTACATGCTTGTGGCTAATGTTTTTGGCGAGTTAGTTTTCAATGAGATGGGATCTCTAGCCCCATACCCAACCCTTCTCGCTTATCCAGGCTTGGGAGCAGTAGTAGCCCCAGAGGACCCTCAGGAGGAGAATATAACTTTAAAGGATATATTCAAGCCCTTAACTGATCTGCATAAACCAAACAAATCTCTTGTTCAGATAGTTAGATGATGTGTACACATTCTCATTGTACTTTCATCATCAATTGTGTATATCCATTTGAAGAATCAACGAAAATAATCTAGAAAAACAACAAAATAAAATTGAAGATGAACTTTAAAATTTCCATTATTGATTATTTTATTAACTATTGACTTATTTTTATTCTTTTTTTTCTTCGTACTATATTTCATTAAATTATTCATCAATTTTTTTTATACCATTCGATACATTATTTGTATAACATATTAGTTGGATTATGTCGGCTTATTTTTATTATTACGTAGTTAGATCACCTCTCATATTACATAACAAGCTTAATTTGTTGAACTTTGATCGAAAAATGTATTATGATTGTATGATTGTACAATTACAGACTCATATTACAAAGATTTATTTGATAGATAACTTTTATTTATTTTCAGTAAAGGGGTTCCATGGAGATTATAGTAATTTTATTAGTTGAATTCATGAGTCAATTTTAGTTAGATCATCATGGAAAATGTTGTAACGTATGTAAGACTGCAGAATTCGATAAGCAGCGTATTTATCGATCGATTTGGTGTGTGACGTAAACACGTAATGAACGACCTAGAGTCACGATTGGCTTTGCTTCCCTGTCTATCCCAGCCAGTTGAGTCCAGAACGCAAGTCACAGCCTCTGAGATATGAATCATTATATTTCAAACACACTCTGTTTATGTACTAACCAAGCATACCACATCGTACTATAAAAATAGAAAACAACATTTACACAATATTAAACAAGTGAAGTAAATATCGACCAATAGGGAATGTACATTTAAAGTCGAAGGACACCATTGGACTTAACATGATAATTATTGGTCTATTCCTCCGCATCCACAAAAGAAAATCTGAAAGCACTGGAAAACTGTTTCGTCGTAGTATGGGGTTCCAGTTCAGTCGTCTAGAGATTAAGCGATATCGCATAAGAACAATAGGTCCTAGGTTCGAATCCCGCAAGGCGAGATCTTGGATTCGCACTGCTGAGGAGTTCAACAATAGGACGAGAAGATGGTCTAGTTTCAATTCAATCATAATCTCACCTATTAAAACTACTATAATATTCACAAAAAACCTTTCTGATCCTAACTCTGAGTTCTCTAATAAAAAGTGTAAAAATCTATCCAGTCAGAGGAAAGATTTTAAATAGTTAAATCTTACAACTCCGCCTGAAGCCCCTCTGGGGCTACTGCTGGCCCCAAGCCTAATAAAGGAGGATGGTTGAGCATGGGGTTTGCTACCTGGCTAGGAAACTTTAACCAGTTAAATCTTACATAGATGATGACATTTAACATTGATTGCTTTAAAACACTATGTTTTATGCTAATTTCCCATTTCTCATGTTATATATTCACTTCTTGTCCAATTATTGTTTGTTTTATAAATTTCATTAATAAAAATAATGAAACAAATTCTGTTCGACATTAATAAAATGAATTTCAATAATTAACATCACGAATCCATTGAAGTTAGACCATCATGGAAAACCTAGATATACTGGATGGTCGTTTCATCCTGTTGTGAGACTCCTCAGCAGTTCGCATTCATGATCTAAGCCTCTCGAGATTTTAACCCATAACCTATCACACTATCATCATCTTAACTATTGAAATGACCATAATATCCACAAAAACCCCTTCTGATATTAATAAAATGATTAATTTAAATGTACCCAATTGTTGAGATATTCAGAAAAATATCCCGAAAATTATCCTGTTAAGTCTAATGCTATTCTTCAACGTGAAATGGTGTCATTTTCCTACTGGTGAATATTTATTACACGTGTCATTTTCCTGTTGGTCAATATTCACAGTAGTCCTAAATGTATAAATATCCATTTGTCTGTAAAGTATCATTCCTATTTTTATTCTTCTCATGACCCCATAAACAATTTTCATCTACGGTTGGTGTTCTGGTATATTGGAGATTGGGGAACAGTTTTGAGGTCGTACTGGGATATCTGAATTTGGTCAGTCATTAGAAATTAGAGTAGCCATGCCGCGGTCCACAATGCCAATAAATTAAAACGTAAAGTCGAAGAACAAATAAGCAAACAAAAACAAGAATATGAAATATAAATGGTCAAGTGTATAAATAATTGTTTATATCCCTTGATTATTTATTTATATAAATCCATATTATAAAAAGAATATAGAATAATCAAATTTAAATAAAAGAAAAAATATAATCACATATCAATGACATTGAAGATCATTATTATTTTGGTATCATTAAATGGATTAATTAAGCTATAGAATTTTGCTGATTTCGTCCATTAGAACTTGTTTGAACGTCTTCAGGATAGAATAATGAAAATAATTAATATATATATATATATATATATATATATATATATATATATATATATATATATATATATATATATATTATATTTAGAATCTCTTTATTATTTGAAATCATTAGAAGGATCAATCAAGTTACAGGATTTTGTTCATTCTATCCATCAGAAATGGTTTCAACTTCTTCAAGATAGACTAATTGAAATCATCAAACAAATATATATCGATGTATACATATATAACATTTAAACAATCAAGTTTATCCTGTGCTTCATTCAAGTATATTTAGAATATCATTAAAATAAATGAATTAAACTACAAGATTTTCTTGATTATTCTCTATTGTTATTCGTTTCTCTTCTCGTTGTTGTTGTTGTTCCTCTTCTTCCTCTTCTTCTCCTCCTCCTTCTTCTTCTTCCTCTTCCTTATTTTGTATATTCTCTATAGGAGTACTATTCGTTTGTATATATTCTTGATTATTATTAGTATTATCTTCATCATTAATATACCGTGTATACACAGGGGGATTTCTATTAGTTTGGTAAAAATATAATAAAATAATAAAACCTATAATCAATATAAATGATGTAATCATAATCAATAATATAATTGTTGCTATGTATGGGTTTTGTATTATTATATTATATAATTGATTGATTACTGTATGATTTAATTCAATCGATTCATTAATAAACATAATTGGTAATAAAATGTTGGAAATATTTTCAAGTTGTTGAAAATTTGGATTATTTTTAATGAAGATATTCATTTGAAGTTTTTTTTCCGCTTTAATTACATAACCAGTATTTGGTTCTATATAAATCATTGTATTGAGCTCATCTGTTGGATATAATCCATCAATAGCATTCTGATAGGATTGATTAGCCTATTTATGAAACAAAGATAATCGAAAATATTTAAGTAAATAAATATAACAAATAAAGTGACAGGTATCTACCTCAGCACAATGAAAGATGATCGAATAATTTCGCGGATTGATTTATATTAGACATTAACGGTGTTAGATTTTGACTCAGGAGTCTAGAGGTTAAGCATTCGCTCACGAGACTCGTAAGTACTGGATTCGAATCTCGCAAAGTGGGATTGTAGATGCTCACTGATAAGGAGTACTACAATAGGTGATCTAGCATCAATCAGTTCATCATCTCAATCAAAAACTTAATAATCTCCACAATCCTATAGATTCTTTTAAATTGATCTATTAGTAACTAGTTGATATTAGTTTGTAATAAAAATTTACATAGAAATTAATACAAAATATTCAATTTTGTGTCATGGATAGAAATTGTATACAACTCATCATGAATAAATACGACAAAACAGTCTTGTGTCTGAACTTCATTCAGTATAGAAATCCATATCAAAGTGCTTTAACATTAAAAACAGGAAATAAGTTGATCATATAACTAATGTTTAAATAATTTTCAAGAAAAGTTGAAGGAATATTTTTACTTTCATTAGTTGAGATCATGAGTTAATTGAAGCTAGATCACCATAGAAAACCTGGGAGCATTGAATAACCGTTTCATCCTATTGTGATGAAGCTCTTATGAGCAAAACTGATAGGTCCTGGGTTTGAACTTCACGACTTGAGGTCGTAGATACGCACTGCTGAACAGTCCCACAATAGGACGAAACAGCAGTCCAGTGCTTTCAGATTTTCCATGATGATCTAGCTTCAATTGACTCATAATCTCAACTAATGAAATTAATATAATATCCACAAAAACCTCTTCTATCATATAACAATTTACAATCTTCTATTTAATCTATCTATGACCGACATATATATATATATATATATAACCTACAATTAGCTTATCAAACAAAGTACAACTTGAACTCTAGTAGAAGTTCCCTGTGACCCTAGTTCCATAGTTGACCAAAACTAAATGGATTATTATCAGAATGGGTTTTGTGGAAGTTTTAGAAATTTCAATGAGTGAAATCATAAGTCGATTGAAGCTAAACCACCATGAAAAACCTGGAAGCACTGCACGGTCATTTCGTCCTAGTATGAGACTCCTCAGCAGTGCGCATCCACGATCCAGTCCCCCGCGAGACTCGAATTATAGTGTTTTCCTAAAATAGAAAATTCAGTTTATATAAATATTTAAAGTTCATTCAAACAATACAATAAATTTCAACTTACATTAAGAAAATGTGGTTGTGATACAGCAATTGGTATACCAGGTTGACATGATGACATATCTAATACACCATCATCATAACAATTAGGCCAATCTAAACAAAATCCTTTATTTTTTTCATAATATTTCGGTGATTTAAATGTATCTAACATAGGAATAAATTTTATTACTGGTAAATGATTTAATTTCACTATGGAATCTGTAGTAAATTGTATAGAACGACATATATCTGATGCAAATATATAAGGATTATCATTTATAGTTAAAAAGGTATGAAATAATGAACCATCACTACCATTAATCATATTCGCTGTGGATGTTTTCCAATAAGATAATTTATCCTTTCCATTATAGTTGATAATTTGACCAATCAGTTTATGATTATGTAAGCCATTATTAATTGTGATAGAATCACTGAATGTATTATTCTTATTAATGAATAAACCAATAGTTGTTGTTATATTCATAAAATAATTTGATATAAATGTTAATAATTCATCATTATAACCCCATAATAATTGTTTAATAGTTTTTTTAATGAATAAATATTCATGAAAATGTTTTTCGATTTGTTCAATAATTCTACTTAGTAACCATGGCAACTCATTGAATTTAGTTGCTATGGTTATATAAGCAAGATTTATAGTTGTAATCATATCATTTTCTGTACCATTCGATAAATTTGGAACAAAATAATACCATTTGATTTCTTGATAAGTAATTGTTTCATTTATTTGTGTAATATTGAATTTCATACGTTTTTCAAGATATGTATATGGTCCTAATTGTTTAAGATGAGGTTTATGACCAGATTGAAATTCAATTGGATTTGTTAAATTAAAAAAATAAAATTGTATATAAATAGGTATTGAAGGTTCTGACCATTCAGTATATATAGTTGATCCTGGATTTAAACGTGTCTCTCTGGTGATTAATAGCCAAAGAATAGGATATAGTATACATAATGATAATAATGAAGCAAATAATAATATACTGAAGAAGATGATAGACTTTAAACAGGTATGAAATATCATAGTTTGAAAATGACTCTTTATCTCTAATGTTATTATAGACTATTGTTATACAGGATATAGTAGACAGGTTAGTCTAAATATTATTAACTGATCGTTAAATATATAAAATAAAACTATAAGCCAATCAGAAATTAATGAACAACTAAATGACATCAATACCAGGACTGTTAATGTCTGTATTTAATGATTATTAAAACACAAGTTGTCATAAAATGTTTACAATAAAGTGAATGTAAATAATTAACTGTTATGTATTATTGATCTGTTGAAAAGTGTACTTAGTTATTACTATTCAAAGACAAAGATAAGTAAGCTTAAGGATATCGTCAGTGGAGCACCCACTTACACAGCAATGAGGATCATAATAATCAAGTCAATAAGAGGCCTCAGTGAATTTTAGATAAGTGACCAGGAAAGGACATGACCATCCTGATAGGAGACCTAAACGCCAAAGTCGGAATGAACAACACCAGGTATCAACATGTCATGAGACGACATGAACTGACTGGGCGAAACGAATGAGAACTGTTGTAACGTGAGATGATGCTGATTGGAAGTTAGCGAATTATCGATCGATTCAAAGACGCGTAAGACACGTAAGAACGGCCTAGAGTTCTGATTGGTCCAGCTTCCCTGTCTAGCCCAGTCAGTTGAGTTCAGAATGCAAGTCTCAGTCTCTGAGATATGAATCATTATATTTCAGACATACTCTGTTTATATACCAATCAAGCATACCACATCGTACCATAAAATAGAAAACAACATTTTGTACAATATTCAACAAGTGAACAGATATCGACCAATAGGAAATGTCCATTTAAAGTCCAAGGACACCATTGAACTTAACAGGATAATTATTTGGATATTTTTCTGAATATCTCAACAAGAACGGTGACGGATTTGCAAATTTATGCGTATTCAACAAACGAACGTTGATCGGTTCGTGATCTCAATTAAAGCTCAACAATCTCCACAACCCTATACTGATAATTCTCATATGCTCACTACTGACTAGCTTTTATATATAATTCTTGGAGTTCTACTGACAGGCTGTGACCAAAGGAATTCAACGGTCCTGGGTGAGGCCGTTATCCAACAAAGACAATGTAATATTGTTGGGGACGATAGATCCCCAAAACTCATATTTTGTAATTTCATCTTATCGATTAAATGTTTAAATATTTGAAAGGCAGTCAATTGATGAACTTTTCGATTAAATGTGCAAATAGGTCAATTGATGAACTTATCGACTAAATGTTTAAATAGCAATCAATTGATGAAATTATTGATTAATGTTTAAAAATTTTCCATAACAATATCGATTATAAATATTTGTATTAATACGCTTGATTTGTGTGCTTGAATTGACTTGGTATCTGCTGTTTGCCTGTAGAATACACTTTCTACGCTTTACCAAGACTTCTTGATCGAGTTAGCTGAGTCGGGGATAACGGACCAGAATAGCCTATCGAGTCTCTGAATCCTTGATCCTTCGTTCCGTTCCGAATAAGCCGAATCGGTAGTAGCATTCAAGCCTAACGAACCTAACAAACATGGTCGTGAAATATCGTGCATTCTTTGGAGTTAGATATTAACATAGATAAATCTCGGTTCAGTGATCTAGAGGTTAAGAGTTTACGTGAGATATCGAAGGTCATGGGTTCAACTCCCATGTATGGGATCGTGGATACTCAGTGCAAGGTAATCCCATTCAATAACAAAACAGCCATCCAGTTCTTTCAGACTTTAATAGAGCTCTACTACCGATGGGCTCATGATTCCAATTGAAATGATTATAGGTGGCACTATATTCCGCTACAAATGCATACACAGAGCTACAAGGGTCTCATCAAATCACGCTATACAGAACCAGATCGACCATATCTGCATCTATGGTTGTGAGTGATGTTGACCTGCTAAATAATTTTTGCAATCGTTGATTACGATAAACGTATATATTGAATCTGGTTAGTCTATATGTAATAAAATGGCTCAACCCAACTTCAATAATTTGATCAACTGATGACGCGCCTAAATGTTTTACTACTTGTGCACCGACCATCTTTGCAGGTTAAGATAGTTGTTAAATAATCATACGTGGACACATATCCTAAACACAGTTAAGTAATATTCACTATTTCATCAATTGATTTACCATCCTTATCTAGTGTTTGATTTTGCAACCTCAAGTGGTGTCCGTCAAAACTGTCCACTTTCTCCATCTTTGTTCAATTACATTATAAACCTACTGCTGGAAATAAAGTTCTCGTCGACTGAATTTTCTGGTATTGATCTCCTTCCAGGAGGTCCACTTATAGACTTAGAATACTCAGAAGGCGAGGACGCTGATAAAATGCAGTCTTTTGACAGCACTAAGCTGCAATGCCAGAATGTTTGGAATATATAAGAAAGGGTCAAAATCATACTGTCACAACCATAGGGGGATTAGTTTCACTAACATAGCATCTTAAATATCAGCCTCAATAATTACCGGACGCCTAACTAAAACCCGTGAACTGCAAACACGAGAAAATCAGGTTGGCTTCAGACCTGGTCGTCGCTGCATCAACCATATATTCACCATTTGTCAGGTTCTAGAACACAGGCATGCCTACCAGCGTCTGACAATGATAGTTTTACTTGTCTTAAGAGCAGCATTTGATTCTGTAGACCGAGAGGTTCTTTTTCACTGTCTGTACTTGAAGGCTCTTTACTTGAACACTACCAGCTGAGTCAGAGCTCATGGCGAATTTTCATTTGGTTTTGCAACTCCAAGCGGTGTCCATCAAGGCATACTGATGGAAATAACGTACGCGTAGACTCAATCTTCGAGCATTAGTCTCTTCCCAGGAGGTCCACTTATTAACTAAGAATACGCAGATGACATAGCCTTGTGGCGATGGGGATGCTGATAAAATGCAGAATCTTTTTGATAAGTCTTGCAGATTGAACGCTATATTCGTCTCCTAAGCTATTCTGTAACCCCCAAGCTAGAATTATACAACGACCTGAACACGATAGAGAATACTTAAAGTATGCGAGAAGTAGTTTACTCCAAGGTTCATTCTAATACAAGAAATATGGGGCTTTTATATTATTTTAAATGTCCTTTGGGTCGCTGGAATATTTGGGAATGCTACCAAACATAGTAGCAGTGTAGCAGCCAACCAATCAGAGCCTCTGAATGTGACGTTTCGCTTCCTTGATATTTCTGGCCAAGACTCCAAGTTAACGCTGCTTGGACTAAACGCTTCTTTTTAGTGTTTCCTGATGCTTGCTTGTCTTTTGTAAGCAATTTTCTGGATCACCCCAACACTTTTAATAGCACTAAGCAACAATGCCAGAATGTTTGGAATGCGCTTCTCTCTCTCTGAATTCAAGTTGTTGCTTCAGGACTGGCCTGCGTCAACACCTGAACTAAAGATAGGTAGTGAAATAATCGAACGCGTTGACAACTTCACTTATCTTGGAAGTTTGACCAATCCTAATAGGTTGGTGTCTAACAAAATCTCAGTATGGAATCAAATAACTCGTCTGACTTTTGCAAATGTACGTCACCTATGGCGAAGGCGAGATACCCGTCTATTAATTAAGGGACGAGTATTCTTGATGACAGGGTTCAGAATCGATTACAACGGCGTCGGTGTATACACTCTTTGTGTTTCCATAAAACATGAGATTAAAATCGCTTTATATCTTTCTTTCTACCAACTAATTCTTTCACCATGTATCATATCCTCGCACACACTCTTCATTTCATATATTTCTACCAATGAAGTGACCACTTCGGTGAATTCGGTCTTCATCTTGTTTTGCCAGTGAAGTGTGGCAACTTGGACCGTTGAATATGTGTGCCTGATCTCACGTTGTAGTTGACTGATACGGAGCTTCAATATTGCTCATTCGGTTATTTTATGAAATGAGTGTAATGACTAAATACGAACATATACCAGTGGACTACCAATATTCTCTAATGCTAGTGGTCATGATTAACATTCATAAACTAAAATACAAAGAACTGATGAACAGTATACACTTCCTTTGGTTGGAAGACGGATATTTCTCCTACGCCGCAAGGACACCAGTTGGCAAAAATCAAACTAGCCTACTGAATTCACGCAGAAAGTTTGTCAGACATCAGAAATAATAAGACTCCCAAGATGAGTGAGTCGATTGATGAGTACAGTTACTTCATTCTCCATCAACAATTCAGGCTATGATGTAAGCTGACAGATTGTATTTGGAGGGAGAGAACCACATTCCAAATACGTTTGCATCATTTCGAAAGGTGGCTAATAAACTCTGAATTTTGTCAGTATCTTAATCCAACAGACCTATGTCAGTTATGTATCTAAAATTAACAAGAGAATTTTAATCTATATAAGCACGTTCAGGTTTTTTCGGGTTTGCTTTTCGCTAGCCAGTTAGACGACGAAGCATTATTAGGGCTAATATTTTGGACACTATAATAGTTAAACTGATTCTTCTGCGATTGTCACGGGAGGAATTTTGTCCTCTTATAGACCAGGATGATCGACAATCGAGACTAGTCAGATGAGATAACGTCCCATTTCCAGATTTCAGCTAGTATCTCAGTTAATCTAATTGCCAAAAACTGGACTACTATCCTCAAGATTCTCAACGGTTGGTCCATCAAGCCTTCCTGCTTTCCCTCACTTTAGATTGGTAATAGCCTCACTGAGATATGGAAAATTTACATCAGTTTGCCTTTAAGGTTACTTGTAGATAGTGGGTAACTAAAGTGCTCTGTCCATTGATTGAGAGTGAATAATAGTTCAGTCGTTTTCTGAGATATTCTTACTAACAGCCATATTTTTTGGTAAATCTGAGCAGTTATCTACTGTTACTCATCGCCATCACCTTTTCCATCACTTCTGCTTTCGCTGCCCACGATCATTCCATAGGCTTTTTATCAGCGTTTGAGCTGCTTTCACTTTTCATCGTGTTCGGCAGGATGAGTTTCCGAGCATCAGTCAATACAATGGACACCGATGAAATCTGCTGATTTTTTCTGACGTTTTGATTCAAATTACTAGTCAAAATCATTGCTTTTTTCACAGCATTTCCGATTCCATGTCAAGCTCTCTCGGGGTAGGTATCACTTTCATGATTGACTAAATATTTCTCTAGTTGTTCCTAAAATGCATTCTTAACCTTTTTATCAATAAATTAAACCCTAAGGGTTTTCTTACTGTGGCTTTTCTATGTCCAGTAAAATGCAAGAAAATATGTGCTTGAACTAGTCAGTCAGTAACAACGTAGAACTTCGTACGTACGTACATCAGTTCGAGTTGCCATATCACATTAGCACAGAGATGCAGTGGTCGATTCAAATCCCGTAGTGGTAGAGGTAATAAGAGTATAAGCAGTAATCGGAAAGATTAGAGATGTTACTTAAAGAGCATAATACAGTGAAATAAACTTGGGAAGAGAAAAAAAGAGACAAGGGGGAATCAGGAGATCAAAATTTCGGAGAACACAAAGAGTGGATGCACCTACGCCATTGCAAACGATTTTGAGCCATGTCATTCAGGGTCTCTAACCATCGGTTGCTATCATCTCGCGGTCCCCAACCAGGTAGTCTACACCTACCAACATGACTCAGTCCACTTGTCAGTGACTTCATGGATTTGTGCCATGTTTTGGTCTGGCCGCCCCTAGCTTTCTTCCAATCTACTCCCATACCACTGAACATCGCACGTCGAGGCAGTCGGTCGTTGGGCATACGTAACACGTGTCCCAGCCATCTTAACTGATGAAGTTTCACTACTTCATAAATTGATTTGCCATCCTTACCTAGTACCCGTTTCCTAACAACTGTGTTACTTACTCGAAGACACCTATGATCGAATACTAGTAACCTACGAATATCCTCTACTCTTACCGGCCATATTTCACTGCCATAAAGTAGGACGGAACGAACTGCTGCGCAGTAAACACGTCCTTTGGTTGATAGACGGATATCTCGCCTACGCCATAAATGACGCAAGTTGGTAAATGCTAGTCGAACCTTCTGTATCCGTGCTGAGATTTCGTCACATACCAGACCACAAGGGCTGTTGAGACTTCCAAGATGAGTGAAGCGGTAGACACACTCAACTACTTCACTCCCTATCACTAGTTCGGGTGTCGATGTAACCCAATCCTGAAGCAACATTTTGCATTTCGAGGCAGAGAATCGCATCTCGAACATGCTTGCATTGTTGCTTAGAGTGGTCAGAAGACTCTGCATTTTGTCAGCGTCTTCACCAAATAAAACTATGTCATCAGCATATTCTAAGTCAACAAGTGAACCTCTCGGTAGAAGTTCAACCCCCGGAAATTTAGATGAGGAGAGTGTTATCTCTAAAAGTACGTCGACCACAAAGTTGAACAAGAATGGGGAGAGTGGACAGCCCTGACGAACACCACTTGAGGTAATCAATTCTGATGACAGTTCGCCATAAGCTCTCACTCTACCAGTTGTGTTCGAGTAGAGAGCCTGAATAAGGTTAATGTACTTCTTTGGTACTCCTTTCAGTGACAAACACTGCCATAGAACCTTACGATCAACAGAGTCGAATGCCGCCTTAAGGTCGAGAAATACTACCATTGTGGGGCGTCTAAACGTGTGTCTGTGTTCTAGAACCTGACGTAGTGTGAATATCTGATCTATACAACCACGTCCAGGTCGAAAACCGTCCTGGTTTTCTCTAATCTGCTCTTCACGAGCTTTGATTAGACGTCGAAGTATTATTGAAGCTAATATTTTAGACACTATATTAGTCAAGCTGATTCCTCTATGATTGTCACAAGAGGATTTTTGTCCTTTCTTATAGACTGGCACAATCAGTGATTGAGACCAGTTAGATGGGATTACGTCCAGTTCCCAAATTCTACCTAAGACTTCGGTTAATCTCATTGCTAATACTGGACCACCATCCTTAAAAATCTCAGGAGTAAACCTGTCAGGGCCTACTGATCTCCCTCGTTTCAGATTTCCTATGGCTTTTTCAACTTCATAAAGAGACGGAGGACTTACATTAACTTGCCATTCAGGTTGACTGGAGATCGTGGGAAACCGAAGTGTGGCTGAAGGCCAGTTGAACTGATCCCTAAAGTTTTCTGCCCATCGATCCAATCTCCTGGATTGAGAATGAATAATATGTCCATCTTTCTCTGCGATTGTTTCGCTAACGGTCGGGATCCTAATTCCGGTTTCCTTAACGAGTCTAAACAATTGTCTGCTATTACCTATTGCCGTTGCCTTTTCCATCTATCTTGTTTTCGCTACCCACCACTGTTCGCGATAATTGCGTAGACTTCTTGTCAGCTTGCGCTTAAGCTGACTCCGCTCTTCATTATGTTCAGAGCCAGCTGGAATGAGTTTCCGAGCATCTATCAGTACGATAGATGCTGCTGTGATCCAGTGTTGCTCTCTAACCTTCTGGTTTACCTTACTAGCAGATATCACTGCTGTTTCCACAGCTTTTCGGATATCATTCCATGCTGCCTCGGGGTGAGCATCACATACATGGCTGCCTAACTGTTTTCCTAGTTGTTCATAAAATATACTCTTAGCTTGACTATCATTAAGTAGGCCCCTAAAAGGTTTCCTTGCAGCGTCTTTCCTACGTCCAGTAAGACGCAGACAGATACGCGCTCGCACTAGAGCGTGATCTGAATCTAAGCATGTGCTCCAGAATGAGCGACAGTCTTCTATCGAGCCCCTCCATCGGTGGCTGATAGCGATGTGATCTATTTGGGTCCAACGTTGGGACGAATTAGGGGGTCTCAATGTTAAAAGATGTTTTTCCTTATGCTTAAAGTTAGTATTTGCAAGGAACAGGCGATTATCTGAGCATAGCTGCAACAGACGATCGCCATTATCTGTTCTTTAAGCCGCGACACCGTAAGATCCACCTAGGTGTCTTTCCCTATCGCTTAGTTTACCTACTTGAGCATTAAAGTCACCGGCCACTATTACTACATCATAGCGCCTAGCTTTTCGGAGAAGGTCGGAAAGCTTTCTGTAAAACTCACCTTTCACATCATCTGAGCTGCAGTCAGTGGGAGAATAGGCAGAAACGATGAAGAGGCAACGACGGGTGTCCCTATCTTTTCGGATTCTTACTGTTCCGTTCAGTCGGACAGCGCACAAACGACTGTCTACTGGGATCCACTCTAAGAGAGTTAGTTCTGCTCTAGGACTCAATGCTATACCAACGCCAGCGAGGCCACGGGAAGCAGAACCAGGGCTTCCAGATACACGAAGTGTGAATCGAGTTGGTTCTTTATTTAGACATCGTGAGGTCAGATGAATGACGCTACTCGGATCTTGTATGCGCGTTTCGGAGATGCAGCATACATCGATGGCGCGGGATTCTAAAGTCCTAGCTAAGGAAGCCTGTTGTCCTATATGGCACAGTGTTCGGAGGTTAAAAGCTCCTACGTGCAGTTTAGAGCGTGGTTTCAGGAGACCAGGAATAGCGTTCCACGTACTCGAATCGTTTGCCCTAGCGGTGCGAGGTGATAAAGAGACGTGAGGAGGGTTAGTCATGGAGATAAGAGAGGTATTAGGTGTAGGAAGGATTTGAATGTGACCAACTTGGTCTCGTGTGCTGTTACGGGTATGAGGGCTGATGTCACTTCCCGGCTGCCCACACCGTGAAAGGGTATTTCTTAAGGAACTTGAAAAGGAAATTGGATTAGTGTTGGTCTTAACGACCTGGGAGCGTGACCGCAGAGCCCAAGGGACAACTGCTTGAGGCCGGTCGCGCACGGCCTTTTTGTGGAAGGTTTTTGACGTGTTGGCTCCGTGCTTCAAAGGGCCTTACCGCCGAAGACGGAAATCCGTGAGGTAGGGTGAGGTGTGACATTTTTAGGGTCGACCTTTTCTAACCCCACCCCTCCTTGTGGGAAGGCAGCATCGTTGTCATGCTGGTTGTCTGAGGGAAACACCTTACTGCTGTCACACCCCTCTACAGTCAGCAGTACGACTTCGCCCTCAGACCTTAAGTTGCTGCTTTTAGTTTTACCGTTCGCAAATCGACCTGTCTGGCATGGTAGAACCTACAGGAACATATGTTCCAGCCAATATAGGTCGGTTGGGTCATCACGATAGGCAGGCCCGACCACCGCGTCAAGGTAGCAGCTTCGGTCGGGGCTTGAACTAGAGCATGATCTGAGTCTGAACATGTGCCCTAGGATGAGTGACAGTTTTCTACCAACCATCTCCGACTATGGATGATGGCGATGTGATCTATTTGATTTGATTATGGGGGTCACTTCGTCAATCGGTGCTTCCCCTCATGCAATCGTTGAGAGAGACAAACAAGAGAAAACGGCGTATGTCCCTATCTCTTCAAGTTTTCACAGTCCCGTTTGGTCGGACACCACTTAAATGACTACCTATTGAAACCAAATCTGACAAAGCCTGTTCTGCTTCAGAACTCGGAAGATAGCAGTGAGATCTTCAGACACACGAAGGGCAAATCATGCTGGTTCTTTATATTGACAAGATGAAGTTGTGTGGATAACTGCACTTGGATCCCTTATGCGCGTTTCGGAGACAGCATAAATCGATAATGCGAGACTCTAGAGTCTTATCTAAAGAAGCCTGTTTTCCTATCTAAAACAAGGTTTGAACAATAAAAGCTTCAACATGTAGTTTAGAGTGTGGTTTCGGCAAACCAGAAATATTTTTTTGAACCCAAATCATTAGTATTGGTGCCACAGAGTGATATACAAGAATCGTTAGTTGTGGGAATAGATTCGATCGTAAACAAGATGATCTTGGGTACTGTTAGAGGTATGAGGGTGAATTCATTACCTGACTGCTTAGACGCTGTAAAAGAATTAGAGTAACACTAATATTAAATGAAATGGTTCTTTCATCAAACAAAAATGTAGCCTTTAGTCATATAACTGACAAGATCATAAACTGCAGAGAAATAACCACAAATGCACTTATATAACTGTCGAATAATATAATTTATTCAAGGATATTGTATTCTGCTTCGTCAGATGAGTTCCCATTTGTGTATACAAATTGAAAGCATTATTTGCTACACAATTTGTATAAAGATATTAATTGACATTACTATAGTCTATTGGAGGAAAATCGTAGTAAATTTACATAACTATTCTATAATTGGACAAGACATAACTGAGAGCAAGTACCAGTGTAAAATATGTTCAACAAAAATAACTATATATCCAAATATGAAAAAATATATTTCTTTATTTTGTACAACAGTCTTTCTCTCTTAATTACTTGATAATAACAAACTGGAGATTAATCAAGAGAGAGAGAGAGAGAGACAGTATGACGTATAACTTGGTTGGGATCATTAACAATTTTCTATTTACAATTGCTCTGTTTCTCTGAAGAATATCTTTCTAGAAGAGAATATTAAAAGAAACAAACAAAAGTAGCATAAAAATAGTTTTAGTTGATAAACATTGTAAACAAAATATAAAAGTTAGTGAATAGTCATTTAAGAAAGAATATATGTTCTTTTTTTATATTTTGAAAGTTAGACTCTTTCAAAGTTAATATATTAATAACAATTAGAGTTGACGGGCATTCGGGGATTAATGATTTAGAATAATCAATCCAATAGATGACAGGTTCGAATCATGTATGTACGGAAAGTCAGATGGTACCAATGAAAATGTGTAGTTTACATCCAAGCGTTAAAAATGGTAGCACAACTTGACGCAGGTGTTAATTTAATTCGGTAATCTATAGTTTTTTTTTCGAGAAGAATGAGGACAGTTTCCACACTTCTGTGGCCCATATAAAAAAGGAGTACTGTTTCATGAAGAATTTAAAAAAGAAACTTAATTATAAATGGTCTTGACGACTTAGGCGTGACTTCAAATTTCAACGTTGATCACGTACGCTCTTTTCTCGAGTTGTTTAAGATGTTAGTTTTGTACTTTTCAGGCGACAGAAACCAGCAGGATAAGATGGGGTGTGGTATTTTTAGGGTTTCTATTTTCTAACCTACCTACTTTATTGTGGAAAGGCGGAGTTTCTGCAGATGCCGGTTTTCTGAGGGAAATACCTTACTGTCGTCACAGTCGTGTATAGTCAGCAGTATGACTCGATTTTAGGACGATGAGTTTTCTTCTTTTATTCCTACTTTTCTTCAACGTACCTGCAATGGATAGGACCGAGTATTCGAACCAATAGCTCGATAACGTCACCACAATATTCAAATCCAACCAGGATATCAATATAATACATAAGGTTCATGGACCGACAAAGAAGCACACAACAATAGCGTCGTGAACTGTCCCATAGCCCATGGTAGATCAAGAAAACCGAAAGTCATGAGATCACCATTACAACATACGACACACTAGATACCTCTAAAAGGATTTCTCTTGAGCGTAATCATATTTGTAATCGTGAATCAGTACTTTTAAGGATTTTCAAACTGGAGAAAAATGTCTATTCAGTGCTCCCTGATTTTTAATTTTTTCATGAAAAAGGTTATCATCAAACTGTGAGCATTTCTTTAAAAGAGTATCAATGAAATAGCAAAAAATCCTCAAAACCCTAAATGCATACAATTCGTCCCATATAAGCAAGGGGAAGAGAGGTTCAAACCTGAGTGCTACTGATATAGAATCTAGTGTTTTATCAACTAATTCAATGATCTAATAGCCTACAACCTACCCAGAAGCGGACATTTTCAAGCAGAAAACATTCAGTTAAATGAGAATTATTAAAGTGAAAAATATTTGTGAATCATCTGAAACATACTATAATTATGTACACTTGTTTAATCATTAATACCATCATTATTTCTTACCTGCGTTACGTTTACAATGATCCAAAAATTCGGAAATATGTTCAGGATTATGAGTATTCACAAATTCCAATGTCGATAGGAAAGATGATTCCGTTAGCGGAAATCGAGAACTACCAGCCAAAAATAGGGGCGGTATAGGCTTATTGATCTAAAGATTTAAAAGCAGAAAAATCAATAGTTTATATATTACTGACTAGAAATATACAAATAAAACTAAGACATCAATGGCTTCGCGCGCGAACACTTAACCACTGAGTCGGCATCCAACGGTGTTGATGTCTAACTTCAACCAATCCACGAAGATATCAATACCAAGATTGGACTTAATAGTTTGAAATAAATTGAGTGTTGAGTGGTAGAAAGATAATAAATAAACAACTTTTTTGTTATATCCCATTGCGTTGAAAAATTGTAATTCTAACATTTCTTGACGTAAGCCAATTCTTCAGATTAAATAAACCATATGATTATTTATTTACTCCAAAGAAGTGGCTTACATTAGGTTAAAAAACATCAAAAATACAATATTTCTACTCATTGAGATATAACAAAAAATACATTTATTGCTTAAAAAAAGACTAAGTATATATTTACACCTTCTTTAGATTCGAAGCGCAAAGTTAGGTGTAAAATAACCAGTAAAAGCCAGAACCAAGAGTTAATATTAGTCCATAACAGGTCAAATGAGTAAGTGTAGGCCGTTAGTTTACGGTTTACACGAAGAGCGGATCTGATGGTCTGAAATGTGATATAAATTCAAACATTGGTAGGGTCATCGATGAGCATTCTTGAGGAGTGTTTTTGTTTAAGTACTCACGCCTGTTACGCCTCACAGAACAACACACGCTACTAACTAGCATTATCCATCAAGCTCTATCCTGAGAAATCCTTTCCAGTTGTTTCAACTTTCTATTCGTTCTTTTCATGTCTACTTCCGATTCCAGACGCAATATGCTCCTTACTCTTCCTCTTCTCCTTTCGCCTTCAGGTCTCCAAGTTAGCACCTACCTGGTGATGCAGTTTGAAGATTTCTCTAATGAATGTCCTACCCACTTCCATAGTCTTTTCCAAATTTCTCTAATGAATGTCCTATCCACCTCCATAGTCTTTTCCAAATTTCATATCCAAATGCAAGCTGACTTATTTTCTATCATAATAGGTTGTTGCTGATGGTATTTAGTCGACGGATATTGAGTATCTTGCATAGACAACCCTTTGTAAATATTTGTAAGTGTTTGACGATGGTTGTAGTAGTTCTCCAAGTTTTAGCTCCTTACAATCAAACCGTTTTGACATTTGTATTGAAAATTATGACAGTGATGTTGGCTAACGGACAGTTGTTTTGAGCGCCATATGTTGATCAATTGTACAAGCTCTGCCATTGCTTTGCGTATCCTTCCTTTTACATTTGCATCAGATCCTCCTTGTGTATCGGTGATGCTGACCATGTTATGTATGTGAAACATTCCACCTCTATCAGTGCTTCTTCACCAAGTGTCAATGTGTTGGTGCTCAGTGTGTCATGTTCCAGGATCTTGTTTTTCCCATTTATATGTTGGGGCCTACTACTGCTTCATTGGCTATCTTCACCAATATTTGTTGGTGTGTGTGTGTGTGTGAGGGAAAGAAGAGCTTTTAAGAAGTGTCAGATAATATACTATGTCTAACGTGAAGATCGGCTGTTGAAGCACCAAGAAAGAAAAGCGACAACAATATTACTTACTTTGACCAAATG